GGGGGAATTAGCCCTCAAATATATCAAGTTCGATGCAAGAAAGTTACTTCATAACAACAGGGTTCCGATAGGAAAAATTGTAAGAGCTAAATGGTTAAAACGAACCATGCTCATGTAGTTGGCCCGACCCCTGACACAAAACATGGACACATGTACAATGACTTGCAAAGAAAAATTTCTTCTTTACCGATATCTTATATCCAAGAAAGATTCCCCTTTTTCGAGATTTATTACGCAAACAGGCTTAAGGTAAATCAACAAGTTCGAGCAACACTCACTCAACTATTAAGCCTACGGGCTTCATTACTTCGAGTTCGAAATCACTCACTCGACTATTAAGCCTACGGGCTACATTACTTCGAGTTCGAATCACTCACTTGACTAATAAGCCCACAGGCTACATTACTTCGAGTTCGAAATCACTCACTCGACTATTAAGCCTGCGGGCTATATTACTTCGAGTTCGAATCACTCACTTGACTAATAAGCCCACGGGCTACATTACTTCGAGTTTGAAATCACTCACTCGACTATTAAGCCTACGTGCTATCGTACTTCGAGTTCGAGCAACCACTCACTCGACCATTAAGCCTACAGGATACATTATTTCGAGTTCGAATCACTCACTTGACTATTAAGCCTACATGCTACTCTTATTTCGAGTTCGAAGCAAAGCGCTCACTTGATCATTAAGCCTACGGACTACGAGTTTGAATCACTCACTCGACTATTAAGCCTACCGGCTATACTTCGAGTTCGAATCATTCACTCGACTATTAATCCTACGGGCTATCTTACTTCGAGTTCGAGCAACCACTCACTCGACTATTAAGCCTACAAGTTACTCTTATTTCGAGTTCGAATCAAAGCGATTACTCGACCATTAAACCTACGGGCTACGAGTTTGAATCACTCACTCGACTATTAAGTCCACGGGTTATACTTCGAGTTCAAATCATTCACTCGACTATTAAGTCTACGGGTTATCTTACTTCGAGTTCGAGCAACCACTTACTAGACTATTAAGCCTACGGGCTACATTACTTCGAGTTCAAATCACTCACTCGACTATTAAGCCTACGAGCTAGATTACTTTGAGTTTGAATCACTCACTCAACTATTAAGCCTACGGGCTACTCTTATTTCGAGTTCGAAGCAAAGCGCTCACTCGACCATTAAGCTTATGGGCTACATGTTCGAATCACTCACTCGACTAAATTGCCTAAAGCCTTACGAAAACCTTCATAAGGCATAAATGAAACAAAATCTTCATAAGGCAAAAAATAAAGGCAAGTGGGGAAAAGAAAAGATATTTATATATACATACAAGATTGTTTACAAGTTTGTTTATAACATCCAAAATGGAAACTAAGGGCTAAGTTTCTTGGTTATCTCAGGGGGAGGTCTCTTCTCCATCGGGCTCCTCCCCACTCTGAGACCCGCTCTTGTTCCCATCACCGTCATCGTCATCATCATCATCGTCATCGTCATCATCGGAGGCCAAGGCCCCAGCATCAGCTTCAAGCTCTTTTGCCTTTATTATCTGTTCAGTAAGATCGAAGCCTCGATAATGGATCTCCTCAAGGGTTTCCCTCCGATATTGGTATTTGGAAAATTTGGTTATCCAATGTGCTCGAGCTCGAGCGGTCTCAGCTACTTCTCTCGCATGCGACTGAGCGGCCTGAGCATCGACCCGATAAACAGCCACAAAGGCATCTGCATTGGGCTTTGTCTTTTCAGCATTGGCAAGTTCAGAAGCCAACCGAGCCTCGAGCTCCTCTGTTTTCCTTGCTTGAACCGAGATTTTCTCCTTTATACTTTGAAGCTGGTTTCCGGCCAATGACAATTGGGCTCGAGCAGCTTCTTTCTCTGTAGCAAAGCGGTCCATACCTTCTTTTTACATCAAGGACTCCATTTTTATCACATCAACCTCCTCACGGAGTTTCCCGATCATCTCAATTTTCTACAGCATCTATGAGACCGAAATATTAGCCATCGTTCCAGTATCGAATCCATAGGCTTTTAATAGTATCATTACCTGCTCGGACAGATCGGTTTGATCTTGGTGAGCTTTAGCCAACTCAGTTCGGAGGTCCTTGATTTCTTTTCCCCTTTGCCCTAAGAAGACTTTAAGGGCCTTCTTCTCCTCTGTGGCCCATTGGAGATCGGCCTCGTATTGACGCAGCTCAGCTCAGGATCGAGAACATGCTTCTCGATGAGCTACCACGGCCTACGAAGAAAGAAGAAATAAAGTAAGAAAAGAAAAACAGACATAAGAGATAATACCAACAAAATAATTTAAGGCTTACTTGATTCAAAGCCTGCTGCACTCCGTGAAAAAGATCAGATGCATCACTAGTACCGGCAGCGTCCTCGACACCAGTAAATAGATCACGAAAAGGATCCTCTCCATCATGAGGCCCGTCTAGTTTGAGGGGCCCCAAAGCTTGGGCTTCCTGAATTGCCCCTTCGAAAAAAGCAGGGAAGGTGGGCCAGTCTTCGATTGCTACTGCCCCAAGTGAGTCGCATGGGGCATTCTCTTTGGTTCGAAGAGATTCGGGGAGAGCCCTTTCAGACACATCCCCTATCCGTTGAATTCGATGGGAAGCATCTTTGATCTCCAATGACTCGGGGACTCTTCCCGAATCTTTCTCCGATATATCCTTAGTTCGAGACGGAGCCTTATAAATCACCATCGATCCAGCTGCCTGTAGAGCGTCTGTGGTCTTCTTCGATCGGGCCACCAGTACGGACCCGTCGTCTTCCTCATCTTCATCCCTTGGATGCTGAACTGATTCTAAGGTTAAAGGGATGGTATTCTTCCTCAACTTACGAGTCGACCTTGCCTTCGGTTTTGGATTTTCGGAAGTAGAGGCCCTTTTTCTCTTATTTCCGTCCACCAGTTTAGAAACCAGGTCCGAGGCTTCTTCATCACCGGGTAGGGGCCTCAAAACTGCATCTCTGCCAGGCCTACACACAAGAAGATCGGTTGAATATGTGGAAAATATTTTGTTCGAACTCTCAAAACATGAGAAATAGGCTTACCATGATTTTTGGCCTCCCATCGGCCCTTTGCCAAATCACGCCACGAACGTTTGGTGTATGTAGAGGTTGAAGCCAGGGCCCGTACCCAGCTCTTAAGATCGGGAATGGCACCGGGCATCCAAGGAACCGCTGCATCTCAAAAGAGATATCAGCAAGAAAGAAACAATGAGACAAGGCGATAGGGAATAAGAAGCAGAATCACACTTACGCTTAATATTCCATTCTTCGGTGACTGGGATCAGGTCCGATGTCCTCACTCGAATGATCCTGCCCATCTAACCTCGATCCTTGTCCTTCTCTATACTCGAGAACAGTACCTTGGTAGCCTGGCATTGAAGTTTTATTAATCCTCCTTGAAAGAGGCGGGGACTATATAATCTAATAAGATGATCGATGGCGAAAGGCATCCCCTAGATCTTGTTTGTAAAGAAACAAATGAGGATAACGATCCACCAAAAAGAAGGATGAATCTGACCTAGAGTTATTCGGCATTGACAACAAAAATCGATGATAATAGGGTCGAGAGGTCCTAACGTAAAAGGGTAAGTATACACACTAAGGAACCCTTCCACGTGGGTGGTAATATCTTCATCGGAAGCCGGAATTACCACTTCTTTGCTATCCCAGTTGCAATCTGTCTTTAACTGAGCAAGTTGCTTTTTGGTTATCGAACACAAATACCTCGATACCGGCTCACACCGACCGGGAATTAACGAGCCCTTCTCGACCTTTAAATCGGAGGTGAGAAAGCATGCTCCGGGAACAAACTCCGCAGGCCGTGGCTCCACCGGTGTTTTATCGGCGGCAGGATTTGAAGAAGAAGCCTCTTCTTTTTGAGGGACGACTTTTGATGTTTTCACTATATTTTGAATTTAGAAGAAAGAAATAAAGAAGATGTGGTGTTTCAGAGAAAGATTTTGCAGTAAAAACCATAGAAGGTAAAATTCGCACTTAATTCAGAATATATGAGAAATGCTTAGGGAATTTTGAGATTAGAAGATGTAAAAGTGATTAATGGTGAAAGAAGGGAATATTTATAGGCGGGGCAATGGCGGTCCAATATCGGTAATGGTCGACCACCATTTGACACGTATTAAATGCCTCAGGAAAATGAACCGATAGGACAGCTATCGTGTACGTCACGATCGGATTCGATGCACACATCAGTATATATTTGATCGAGCCATCGGTAAATCATGTCGTTTCTCGCTACATCATTTCTGAGAAATGAGGGGACTATCTGTACACGGTAAAAATCGGTTAGTCTTTGGTATGAACTAGTCGAGCTCGATATCATTATCGAGCTCGAGTCCAAATCGAACTATGATGCAAAGTGAAGTTATCGAGCTTACGAGGTAGAGACTGACCAACACTGACCCCGAATCAATACAAGGATCTAGGCTAGAATCGAGATCGAGTCAAGATCGAGAGCTCGAGTTAAGATCTAGAGCTCGGGTCAAGATCGAGAGCTCGAGTCATGATCGATCTTATAGACAAGAGCCCTTGCAATCCCACTAGAGGAAAGAATCCTGGCAGGAATTATGGAAAAGCTGATTTATCATGGGTCTCCCACTATGTATATTTAGTTATATCTAAAGTAGAATTCCTCCACTATAAAGGGTATGGTTATTATTTTTGTAAGGAACAAGTTTTCGCATACATGGTAACTGAGATATTATACATTTCATATTGAAGAACTATCCTTTCTAGCTTCATATCTCTCATCCTAACAGTCAAATATTTGATATTTTTATTTATCCATACAATTTTTGTTGAGTTATATCACATATCCTTAGAACTACGTACAAATTCAACTCTATCCGTTTTTCGGGTAAACAAAGTTTTTCTTTCTCTTCTCAGTACTCTGAAATATTCACTTGATGCTTTGGTGGAAATAAAAATTATTGTTTAATTTGATTTTAATTTGGCTTTGTGAATTGTATACGGGTAAAACCGGCTCATGGTACACCTCGATCTCCGATAAAATAAACCAAGCTCGAGACATGATGACAGGGGACCGAGATCAAGGCAAGGTCTCATCAAGTCAGAATCTGGGGGCATGACGCCCGCCCTCAAGAATATCGGGGTCACGGTTTGGATTCGTTCTTAACCTTGAACGACTTCGAAGAACATTGTCAAAAAGCCAGGCACGGCCAACGGAAGGCCGTAATAACCGTGACCAGCTGGATATCACGGCGGGGATCTCGGCACATATCGATGAAGAACCGGCAATCAGTTAATCAGAGGATTTTAACCTTTTATAGAGTTGTATCTTGAGTAAGATTCCTCTACTATATAAAGGGGGTATGATAATTCATTAAACACATTATAACACGCATTCCAAAGCAACATATTATTATTTTCTCTGTTATTAGCTCTTTCTCTTGTTCATCAGTGCTAGCCATTGCGAGCCCAGATCAAATATTTCAATAAGGCTTGGACTATCCTCCTCGTGTGGTTTGAATTTATTCCATCTTTACTTGTTCAATTTGACTTAATTTATCACTTCGTATCGAATTAATCCACGTATAATTAAAATCACTTGCAAATTTAATTGTTTTTCGATTTTGAGGGTAAACAGTTTGGCTCCCACCGTGGGGCTAAGGATAATAGCTGCAATTTTATACAAATTTATGTAACACACCCTACTTCACACTTGCTCTTTGAAGTGCCTGTGATTTCAGGTCTGCGTTAAAATGTTGAACTTCCAATCTGCCCCTCTAAACACGGATGATGAGTCTGGCCACCATGGCGAGAACAACAATATAGCGCCAGGTAACGAGGTGCCCCCCACCGATCCCAACGGAATTCCGGTCGCGGACCCGATCGACGCCAACTCACATATGACCATCAACACGAATTTTCCCACCGATCCTAAGAACAACATCCACGGGGGAGTCCGGTCGGTAGCTCAAAATGCTTGTGATGGTGAAGGAGATGGGATCAGCTTGTGGGTGATCTTCGAAATGTTGTAGGCTCAGCAGGTATCGATAGCCCAACTGTAAAACCGAAGTCGCGCTCCCAGTAGAGTTGAGCCCGAATCATCTCGGGAAAACACTCGCAAAAATGAACCAGCTACAGATAGGCCAAATGAAGTTGAACCCGGAACCAACTCCGAAATAATAAAGATGATCGAGGAATTGAAAATGCGGGTGGAAATGGGAAAAAAGAAAATCGAAGCTAACGACAAGAAGGTAGAGACTTACAACTCCAGGGTCGACCAAATCCCCAAAGCGCCACCGATATTGAAAGGCCTAAACTCCAAGAAGTTTGTTCATAAACTATTCCCTCCGAGCGCAGCTCCGAAGCCGATCCCTAAAAAGTTTTGCATGCCTAAAATTCCTAAGTACAATGGGATAACTGACCCAAATGAACATGTGACCTCATACACATGTGCCACCAAGGGAAATGACTTAGAAGATGACAAGATCGTATATGTCTTGCTGAAAATATTCGAAGAGACCTTGTCAAAATGAGCTATGATATGGTATTACAACCTACCTCCTAACTCTATTGACTCATTTTCTATGCTTGCATATTCATTCGTAAAAGCATACGCCAGGGCTATCAAGGTCGAGACCATGAAGTTCGACCTTTTCAAAGTGAAACAGAGGGATAATGAGATGCTCATAGAATTCGTGTCCCAGATTTAGATAGAACGGATGGACCTGCCTCTGGCTACGGACGATTGAGTCGTTCAGGCCTTCACCTAAGGACTCAATACTCGAAGTTCATTGGCTTTGCAGCAGTTGAAGCAAAATATGGTAGAATATCCGGTCGTAACTTGGGCCGATGTGCATAACCGATATCAATCAAAAATTAGAGTCGAAGATTACCAGCTCG